ATTATAACCCTCATAGTATTATAACCCTCATGGCATGGTAACCCTCATAGTATTATAACCCTCATAGCATTATAACCCTCATGGCATGGTAACCCTCATACCATTATAACCCTCATAGCATTATAACCCTCATGGCATGGTAACCCTCATAGTATTATAACCCTCATAGTATTATAACCCTCATAGTATTATAACCCTCATGGCATGATAACCCTCATAGTATTATAACCCTCATAGCATTATAACCCTCATGGCATGATAACCCTCATAGCATTATAACCCTCATAGTATGGTAACCCCCATGGCATTATAACCCTCATACCATTATAACCCTCATACCATTATAACCCTCATGACATGGTAACCCTCATAGCATAGTAACCCTCATAGCATTATAACCCTCATGACATGGTAACCCTCATGACATGGTAACCCTCATGACATGGTAGCCCTCACGGCATGATAACCCTCACGGCATGATAACCCTCATGACATGGTAACCCTCATGGCATGGTAACCCTCATGACATGGTAACCCTCATGACATGGTAACCCTCATGGCATGATAACCCTCATGGCATAGTAACCCTCATAGCATAGTAACCCTCATAGTATTATAACCCTCATGACATGGTAACCCTCATGACATGGTAACCCTCATGACATGGTAGCCCTCACGGCATGGTAACCCTCATGACATGGTAGCAAGTGGTAAGGAAAGACTTGCCCAGTGCCGTGTATGGCAGGGGTACACAGCATAGAGTCACCCAGGACAAGACCATCTGTGGCAGGAGTACTCTGGACTGAAACACCAAGGGCCACCAGGACAGCTGTACCCAGTGTCCAGGATGGGGGCCAGCAAGCCCAGGGCAGGAGTAGCCATAACAGAGGTATCCAGGGCAGGCTGTGCTCCACATTGAGTGTGAGCTCTTTAAAACTGTTTTCATTCAACCCTGAAATCTCACATCATTTCATTATTAATCAAGTCTTATTAGAGATATTTATTGGCAATAAATGCATGCAGGCTGTGA